TAGGGAGAGAGAGAGAGAGAGAGAGAGAGAGAGAGAGAGAGAGAGCAGTGTACAGCATGGCGAAGGGAGAGAATGCCAAAGTTTGAAAGGCTCGCGTACAAAAACGGTAGAGTGTACGTCTTCTACGTTCACAGGTGATGCGAAGAAACAACGCCGCATATAACTATGTATATTCGCATCTACACATCCTATCCACTCAGTTCCACAGGCCATAAAATGGGAAATAAAGATAGCAACAAACGATGAAAACATTCACAGTATAGCCGCAGTGGTATTATCCTACGACCAGCCGCTGCAATACGGGAAACGCATCGAAAGACTCAAGCCAAAGTGAGAATATCTGTGTTTGTGTGAGTGTCTACAGAAGACACAAAGAGCGACAGCAGAAGATCACAAGAGGTGAAGATGCTTCGCCATCACAGGTTATATTAGTGGAACACTTACTTTGTTCGATGAAGCAGAAACGACAGCCATTTTGAAGTAACGAATTGTCGCGGACCGCAGCGGGCATATCGCCCTGTTCCACCATGCATCCTGTTGTACTGATATAATAGTACAGCCGATGTTAACTGCGCGATTGCCAGATCGACAGCCATGCGATTGGTCGCCGGCAATCGAACACAGGCCGCGACAGCAGAACCGAATCGCCCCTGCTCAGCTTAGAAATCTTGGCGATATCCCGATAGAGGGTTGCAGCAGCTGGTCGCAAACCTGTACAGAGCTTGAGACGGCGACGAGCATGGAGCGGCACGCAAGCTGCCGTAGGCGAACGTCGAGTAAAGGTTCGTCCGCCTACCTTTTGCCTCGCCGGAGACTCATAGGGAGAGGAAGGAAATGGACGAATCGTAGAAACCATCATAGACACAGTCATCTCAGACGATGTTATGTCGGATGGCTGTCACACAACAGCAGGTCTAGTAACGCCAGAACGTTTATCGACACTAAGGAGCGGCAGCCAAGGCAAACGGACAGACCTGCTAAAGAAAAGGGAAAACGGTCTGTTCATTTTATTGATATTAGCTTGAAAACGATATAAAATGGTGGCCGATAGACGGCTAGCATGGAGAAATAGATTTCTTTTTTTCTCCCACATTAGATCGGCCTTTGTGGTTGAATCCGAGACTTCGAAACAATGAGAGTGCCGCGCTGCTATCGACAGTTTCTCTAGTAATGCCAACAGAGCGTACATATATATGCATACTGGATACCATTTTCAGCGACGTCTCGCTTCAGCTGCTGCTTGAGTCAGAGAAGGCGTTCGCTGACGGACAGAATCAGCTGAGCTTCGTAGACGAAACTTGGCAACCTTCGAGAGAAAGATGCTAAGATCAAATCGTTTCCTAGACAAGTTTGAACGACGCGCGTAAACAGCTGCAGGAGCGAAACGCATCCGTCCAACGAAGGCTTGCTGCGTAGAAACTGTCGATGTATAGAAGGCCACGGCAACTGTAATAAGACGAAAGTAGGCTGGCCTCCTTAGCGGCCTGACCAAATAGTTGGCTTTGATGGCGAACCAAAGAAACTGCAAGATTACTACTGCAGTAAAATCATCGGTGCAAAACCGAGGCAGATATAGACGTTTAGATTGAGGTCAATCGTGTCGAACTTATCTCGGCCTTCTCTATATGTAACTGCTACATAATATAAATAATAATAATAACGCAACAGGATGATTGTATCTCATGATTCATAAAGTACATATCAAATACGGACATACAAATACACACAGAGACACGTTGATAAGGGTCTGCATGCACAGATCAGTGGAGGGTGAAGACGGCGTATTCGTTGAATTATGTGCAGAAAACGATCCTATGTACATTCCGTTAAAGCTATCTGAACTGCTGTAGTCGGCAGCTTTGTGTAATCCTAGAAAAACCGTGCCACTTACTTCCGGGAAACAGATATTATTCTTTCATAATGTATCATATAATTCAGTCGCAACTACTTGAATATATACATATATATATATATATATATGCAATCAATTGTTACGACCACGTTTTGCTCTTCATTGACGCAGATATGATGCTGTTGCAACGGCTTCACTACATAGCGTGTACAGTTTCACCTTTTAATGGTTTTGCTTACTGTAGCTGTCTGGTACCCGGATCTTCTATCTGCATCTAACTTCCAATTTGCCTTCCATCATGTGTAACGTACTCAATGCAACATAGAACATAATCAGCTGATGATGGATAGTCACGATATAGAGCCGGGAGCCGCTGTCGACGTCGCTCAGGTGTACTGACAACAGTAATCAAGTTTAGCTCACCGGCCGCTGACTTTTAAGAGTTGTTCGTTCTACGACAGGTTTTAATATCGCTGTTTAGCGTTGTTTCAGGAATCTGGTATGGTAGAAAGCTCGACTCCCCGCTAACGTTCATATACGCCACCAGTCGACGGATTCGATCGCTTCTACAGCTTCAGCAGGCTCGTCCGTTGCGACCTTCGTGCCATTTCAACGTTACTCTACAGAACAACTATAATCGGCTTGTAACCGCACGCTGCAAACCACCGTTCGCCGCGACGCCTTCATAAGGAATGAACCTCACCGTCTATTACTTCGCTTATTTCTTGATGGCTATGTCAACGCACGGCGCCGCGCCGGAAGTACCGACGGATCTTTATTCGTAACCGCGACTTCAGCGTTACATACAATAATGAACCTCAGCTTCGGTGTGATGAAAAGTAGTTAAATTATATCTACTGACAAGCGAAATACATAAGAGAGAAACGCCTAAAGAAGACGAAGTATTGGCTTTCAGCAACAAGGTTATGTGGATTGATTGTAGGCTAAAAAATGGCTCGTGCAGCGATATCATTACCTCAGGCAAGCTAAGTCTATGTAAGCCTCCCCTATCTGTTACGTTAAGAGATTTTGTGCCTGGAGTGTAGTTCTTCTTCGGATACAATTTATCATTGATTCCGTAACGGTGTGTGATCATGTAGTTCGAATATGGGGTGCCAGGCTTACTACAGGTGTCGACTGGACACTGAACGAACGAAATAAAAGGCGCAGATGTACCAGATAAGGCTGAGGATAGTATAAGCATCAGCTGAATGAATTGAACATGCGTTAGTTTCGACTGGGCCTCAACTTCTATTGAATCAGAACCTTCGTTGTGTTGAAACGTTGAGGAACGAATTCGATGTCCGCCATCATATGGCAAAACTTGTACTGAACTTGTAGATGTATAACTCATACATTATTGTACTGATTACCTATCAATTGGATAGGTCATTCGCTAAACTCGAGTATAAACCCGATATATTTTGTAACGGTTGAGATTTTCTAAGTAATATGTATGTAGTCGCACATCTATATCTGCTATTGATGTATTAACTAGCGTATCATCTGTTATTGATGTTAATCTTCCCGGAGTGAATAAACCGTTCGATCATTTTTTTTTCGGGCAGTTTTGTTCTTGTAGCCAACAGGAGTGGCTCTTGTGATGTGGGCGTACGGGACCAAAATCAAATTTAGCTATAGGGTTACGAAGCCAATGACGAACAGTCTTCAAGCAGCTTTGCCACCAGCTTCGAATCCGACCTGGGTTTATGATGTATTGTTTAGCTTATTGCACTTGTTCTCCGATACTGTTTCGCCATGTTTTATTTCCCTTTTGCAATATGGTATATTTCTTCTAGTGAAATGTTTAGGGTTAAACTTAATTAAAGTGCTCCTCAACAAGAACGTACCTTAATGGTGTTCCACGGTGTTACAAATGCCCCATAAGTGCAGCTATTTATCAGCGAGTCAGACGCCGGCAGTCAGGCGAGCAGTGATATTTACCGGATTTAGTATGGTTTAGCATGCGTGTTATGTGGATTATTTATCGAATTGTTCTAGTTTGTCTGTTAGTATCAGTACAATTAGTGCATATACTAAAATACCGATACTAACTAACGTATACTTTGATGTAAAGGGAAATATTCGATAGTATACAAAGCCATAGGTGGGGCGCGTATTCTTAACAGTGGGTCCTTGATCTCGTTTGACATGTGACAGCCGAATAGACATTTTTATTTGTACGTGTATATATATAGTGAATAACTCTGACTGGTGATATCAATGGCTATGAGACAACACATTAAACGCGATAACCGATCCGATCGACGATTTGTCCCTGCTGGTCGGAAGCTCTTGGTCTGCTTGGTAATCGACAGACGCTGGCTGCCGGGGTCGTTTCTGAGTCCCCAACCAATGAATTGAGGAGAAAAACGAATTAGCACGGCCAGCAATTTTACGGTGAGGAGAGAAACGATTATCGATTGATTAGACAGTTGATCCCCGGCACAACGCAACACGTTTGGACGCTAACGTTAGGGACACGTGTTGGTCCAGGTTCGAAGTCGGATGTAGACACAGTTTATTTTTGTGCTGAAAGACGGGAAAAAAGTGGGAAGTGATGCCTAGTGACATAAAACGTTTTAATTTGATTGCACCGGGTGAACTCGGCCGATCAACAATGACGGCGACAAAATATTTGGACAATGAATCGTTTACATGTTTCGCCACTTCGGCTACTGCTATTAATCCTTCGCTTCAGATCCAGTCGAGTTCGGCATAGAATATAGCGATTCAGGAAGCAATACCCAGGTCGTTATCGGTAGCGCAGACTAAGCAACCTCACCGCAGTTATCTACCAACTATCGAACACGGATTCAACTCTATCGTCAGCGGTGGCGACGGGACTCAGCTTCCCCATCCCCGACTTCCTCTCTGCGTTATTCGTATCGTGTGCATTCGCCTTTTATCCGCCACCCTCTTATTTGTCTATGGTACTATCCGCTATTTTTCGTTTGGGTAGCGCGTCTTCACCTTGCAGCGTTACGTTCTACGAGAAGCATCCATGTTCCAACCCCCCGCGGAGGATGATGCTGGTGTCGTTGCGTCGGCGCCGACGGGGTCCAGCCTATTCGAGGATTCTTTCGATTTTTTCTTCTATTTTCCGTTATGAGGTGGCGGTGGCGTGAGCAGCAGAAGATCTGGAGGGGGAACAGAATGTACGTGTCTATGAGGCTGAGCGACGGAGAGAAAGAGAGGGAGCAGCAAACGAATGAGAGATCTTTAGAGACATAAATTTCGGCAGCAGAAACGTTCCGAACAGCGACTCAAGGGCCGACGGCCGCTATTGCCGGCTCCAGCAGCAGCGGCGATCGCTGTAGAGTTAGATGAGCGATAAATCTCATCTTAAACAAGATATCACACTGAGCAAACATGAACCACAACAGCAGCAACAAGAGCTACGACGACGACGACGACGACGACACCAACAAGTGACGAAGAATCGCTTTCGGTTGCGTGCAGCGAATCGAAATAGTTCAGCGACTATGGCTTGAGCGACTTCAACTGTCGCTGCTGCTGTGCCCGGAACGGGCTATGTATCTTCAACGCGGCAGACACGCATACTTGATGCGCTTCGTGGTTCGTGGTTTTCGACAGTTCTTCTGCTGCTGCTGCTTGGACAGAACAGGCGCAACAACATCGTCGTAGCAACAACTTTTTCAACAAAAACAAACATCAACAAGAACAAATGACTTGTTGAAACAGCGAAGGGAATGATGTTGCTGGCTGCGGGCGATTGTTCCGGACAAGGCGGCAGTGGCGTCAGCAGCGGGCCCAAGGCAATCGCACCTTTGGCCTACGCCTCTCTAACAGGATGTACCAGCGCTCTGCTGACTTTTTTGGCGGGATGCCGACAACCCTTGCCACCGATGCAATTTCTGTTGTTATAGCTCATGTCACTATCGCATGAGTAGATGCTGCTTTGAAGAGCTGTCAATGACTCCGACAGACTGAGTGTACAGCCTGCGTCGCCGGCTTCTATTCCCCAGGAGAGCGGGTCTTCACGCGCTACTTGGTTGTGTAATGAAAAGGAGAGAAGAAGTTAGACCAAAAAGTTTTAGCCGATGTGTACACTGAATGAACTAACGAGGAATCATGTGTGCGGTCCTTTGCGGAGGCCTGAGCTCGAATATTGGGCGTTAGACCTGCCGCTGGGAAGATCGAATTGGATGTAGATAAGTATTAGACCGCAAACTGACCTCCGCCTCCTGTAATTCATTGGCTCACTTTAAGTCGTATGTAGCCTTTATGTACATACATTGGTTGTACTGTGAGAGGACTTCAAGGACTAAAAAAATTAGCTTTTGTAGAGTGTTGATACAATAGGTACCCGACTATTGGTTAGTAACGTTTGTTAAAAACGAGCTCATACTGCAATTCGATGACGCATATGTTGCTAGCTACATGCTTATGTTTGTTATCTTTTCTTATTTAGTAAACTATTTAGACATTACTCGTTCCTATAATTATTTACGGTTATCAAGTCATTCGAATTCTGCACACTAATAATCATAACAGCGCCTTATTAAAGAAAAAAAAAAACCCATCTCGATCGCAGTGCAACCTTTGCGATATGTTTGAACCTGACATGCCCGGATTTCTCTACGTACGATTTCTGAATTTCCGTTATATGATCGTACTGTAATCAGGATTCGGTGGGCCGTCGTCCTTCCAGGACGAGACTAATTGTTCCAGCAATATGCCCGTGTGTCCCAATGGCGTTAGGCGCTTTCGTCTATACTCAGCTTGTAACTGATAGACTAATTCGGTACAAACATAAATCCCTAGAAGGTTCCTACTACTAGCGAGAAGACCACAAATCTGGACATCTTTGCCGTATGCCTATTGTTAGCGAGTCCAAGTCGTAGAAATACGAGACGTTCAAGTTATGGCGTGCGAGAACTTGAAACATATAATAACACAACAGTAAATTAACTAGAAGACAAAGACGCAGGTTTGCGTCCAAAAATCTTAGATCTTGTAACGATAATAAGTTGCAATGTAAACATAGTTAAGATACATTTTTAATCTCAAACGATACGTCTACAAGTTATAACTTTGGACTACAGACAGACATAGTTAAACTTTGGACTACATATAGTTCAATTTTTTTTTTAGATCTGCTTCTGCTCTAAGTGCCTATCTAAACATCATGGCTATCACATTCAGAGAAACGCATGGAAATCCGTTTCTCGTTCTAACATATTATTATGCGTTCACCCATTTACATAATCGATCTATAGTTGACCATTTATTTGCGTCGCGAGGGCTGGGCAAGGCATCGGGTCCACTGGAACAAATACGTTGTGTGGACCCATATTGATCATTGCATATAGAAAGAAATGCCTGTAAACAAATCGCTAATAGTGAATCCTTTTAATAGCAAGTTTGTGGTAAAGTTGTTGCTTCCCCACCGCCGCTATCCTTTCCCACCACCCCTTTGCAATTCACCGAATCCATTGATCAATGAGATATTGAAGCAAAGGGTACATATACGCGCACATGCATGTATACGGCCAATGTATTACTAGAGCTAATCAAACGACGTACGCACGATTGATTCGAAATAAGGCGCGTTATCATTTCGTGCTAATGTCACCCCAACCCCCTTCGTCATTAGCTCTTACCTTTATAACAAGGGCGGCTTTATGTTAAGACTACTAGCATCGCAGCTGTTTTAATAGCTGAGATGAGTCCTTTGCTTTCCTGCGTCATCCCACGCAACTGTTTCTTCGGATATTTCAAGGTGATCCCCACCCGGAGCCGCTCGATTTCACTATCGGTTTGATCGAAATAAACGGTCGAATCCGGAGAAGAGTCGACCGCCCGAGCGATGAACTTTTCGAAACAGCGACATCGAGGAGCTTCAGCGTGCTTGCCGACCGTCGTGATGACTTCAGTGCTTCGAACAGACGGCTAACGATGCTGTTGTTGTGGCGACGGGCGATGACTATGCTTACAGCCACCGCTGCATAAATTCATTAGATTGCAATCTTTTACGGAGATCAGAGAGCTCAATGACACTTGGCTGTTTATCGTTTGCTAACCGCTAGTTGCTCTTCTTTCATGATAAGTTATAGCAATGACGCCGGCACCAGTGACAACATGCTGCGAGGACAACAACGCAAGTCGCGCACAGAATGATATTCTCCATTTCGTGGTAGCTTCTCGTAACGCAAAGATGCTGGTACTGATAGATGTTCCCAAAATGGCGACTGTTTGCTTCCTCCATTGAGCTTTTCCTAGTAATTTCTGTTCACTCTTCGGTTTCCTCTCCCTCCCTAGAATGTTTTGAACCTCTGACTGCCGGATGACTGGCTACACACTTCCGCTGGTTATCGCCAATGGCCATAACTAAATATGGACAGCGTTCAGCTGACGGATGACCTGAATTAAACGAATGACGAGAGCAACGGAAAATTAATGATTGCGTAATAGGAGGACTCGGAGGCGACTTTGGTGGGAGTGTAAACATAGGAAAGCCATATTGTACAGTCATGTGCGTTCGAAAACAAAGCTTCCAGATGACTAACTCTATCTGGCGGAGGCACGCTAAGACCTAAAACGACAGGATGCTGTAGCTGTTATGTTTCTAGTGGCGGATTTATTAGCGATTCGAAATTTATAGTTACTACGAGCATCACCACTGAAATTAATGGGAATTATAACTGTCACGGATCGCAATCTGCCAGCTTCATGTTGACGCATATGGTGCGAGGCCCCCTTTTATGGCATGCACCATCTTTTTGGTGCACCCGGCGTTCCCGAAATAACGTCATTAGCAGCACATTTTGTATTGAATTCTATTTGCCAACGCTTCTTGCAAAAGCGTTGTTCGTCATTTTCCTAGTTTCAAACGCTTTGAACTTGATTGCCCTTCTTAAGTTGTATTCCCATCTTTTCGCTTTGTGCTTTCGGCGCCGGTGCTTCTTTTCTCAAGAAAAGGGACCTCTACGTTTGAGTGCGTTCCTGTTGCGAGGAGGTTGCAGTCCCCATGAAGAAGTGAAATCGATGGAGTAGAATGGCGAGAAAGGTGCAAGCCCACCGTAGAACCTATTATCACTCGTACGGTTGTCGTGTGCCTGGTACCACTTTCATTTGTTCATTTTCTTGATGCTGCCTCAGCTTCGACTTTTGTCTGATTGCTTTGCAGACGTTGCATAGCCTATTGTAGATGCCGCTGTTGCAGGGAAAGTAGCAGGCGGAACAATTGATATGAAAAAAATAGCAGAAATGCTGAAAGAACTGGATTTCATCAAGGAAGTGAGATATTGGAACTGAGGACCTTCAACCTCATTCGATTCACGAACACGCCTTATTATTCCATAGCCGTTTATTCTGCGTTTTCCCACACGCTCCATCTTTCTTTGTTTTCCATCGCATTTAGTTTATTTAGACGGCTCGGCACTAATGCTTCCATCCTCTTGCGACCAATGCTTTGTCCTTTGTACGCTAGTGTTTAGTCAGTTACCTGCTGTATTCGTTTGTTTACATCATTTGATGTATGTGTCAATGCGTTTCCGAATAGATAATCGTAACGCGAGCAGCTTTTACTAAACATCACTGACCATTGGTCATAGTCAATGCAAGTCTAGCTAAGTAGTCTCTAAATATACGTATTTGTTTCTCATAGTTGTCTGTTTTTCTGTCGTGTTTTACAGCCAGAATGGTATCTGATTCCTGGACCTCGCCACCGTTACCGTTGGTCCCATCATGCTGGGTCAATGCCGTGGCCGCCATTGTTACAGTAATTCGGAATTGTCGCTGCTCAGATTTCGTGATCAGAAGACATTCGTCGTTCGGGCCGTTTAACCAGCGCAAGTGGGGAGAGGATGTAAACGAAATCTCTATGTGTACCTTGGTGGCCGTGACCGTTTACCGTTTAGCTCGGGCAAAGTGGCCTGACCATGTTGGCTGCGCTGGCTTTGCGTGTCTGACTGTGTGTCTGTGTACGTCTCACGTACATACATAGAGCCTGTGTAAGTATATACGTCTGCCTCACTGTGACTTACTTCTCTTTACCGCTTTCGTTTGTTGGATTTAAGCAAGTTAAACAAGCGGCTCTGACAAATAGGCTACCGCACAGTTACCCGCCTTCGCCCGCTGTCACTAATGCTAGGCGCCTGTACTCTGAGCTGCAACTCCAGCAGCATGCCGGCTGGCTGATCCTCAACAGCCGTACAAGCAACGGTGGCATCTGTAACTGCAGAGCCAGCAGTCTGCGCACGTTCCGAAATTTTGCACACTTATATCTGCTTCTCGATTCCCGCTTCTTTGATCGCTATTCCAGTTCGAGCCATATCCCCGTCAGCTTCTTTTGCCGCTTATTATCCTCCAGGCTCTACTTGAAATCGAAATGTTTTTCGGTTCTCGACAGACCAAATGACGACGGTCGATGGTCGGTGCTCGCCGATCGACTACAGCAGAATCAGGAAAGTGCCAGCGCGGCAACCGCCGAAAATGTCTAGAGGGCAACGTCACAGAAAAAAAATATCGACCTCTATGAGTACAAGGCAGTAATAGCAATATTTTCTAACCTACAACAAATGCGTAAGTAATTAGGGCTAATTTGTGAGAATTATTTTTTCGTTGGCTACTGTTGCTGTTGCGGGAATAAACCATTTATGTGCGTCAACTCTCAGTACTGATCTGGTCTACAACAAACGGCAGCAGCGGGTGAAACCATTTAATGAGATGGGTAGATCTTAGTTTCTTAGGCTCACTCGGCCTATACACCGGTCAGCGCCAGTCCCTCTGGGTTCACAACTTCGTTCGTTAGAAACAGAATTTAGGTTTTGCAAGACGGATTTAACAAACTACAGCAGATAAAGTTGGGAAAAAAGTTGTTGAGCAAGTCGACGGCTTAAGATCCCTTTCGACAGGCTAAAACGATGTTCAACATTGTCAATAACAACAACGCAACTTGGATGTATTTTTTAGAGGGAACCCTTTGCAGTTTGATAACAGCTTGACTTGTTACTTTATCTGATAACACTGGTGGTTTCTATGCGATTGCTTTGCTAAGTCATTGTAAACTTCGGATCTTGCTGTCGGCGAGGTGTGTCGTCCCTGTTTTAGCCCCACATTGTAAAGCGAAAAAGGAGAAGCTAAGTAATCACTTCGGGGCGAAAAGAAGTTAGCCCCACTTACTCGCCTCTTCCAGCGGCTCTTCGTCACAGTAGAATGCCCGCACATGAATGCATACACATACACACGCAAGACGGCGTAGAAACCAACAGTTTCAGCATACGCCGAACCGAACAACTTCATTCGGCTTTCGGGTTTTGCTGGCTCTCGTTTCTGCTGAACTGTAGTACGGCTAGATCAGGCACGGAAAACCCACAGCCTAACGAAAGCGGAGGTTCGATTCGTTTGCTATATACCCTTTTCTCAGTTGGTACAACGGAGGCAAAAACAGACAAACGAATGAGAACGAGGTACAAGTGGTGGGTGTCCTTTCAAGGCCGAAGGTTGACAGAGGCAGAAGACCCGTTTATGGCTATCCCTGATACTCTCGTACTTTTGGGCCAGGTCCAGCTCGACCTTGTTTTCAGAAGGCCCTACTTAGTTGTAGCGTTTGTCCTTCCTGTGAACGGCAGAAAAGCGAAGGCTCAGCTCCACCTGCAGAATCTGCAGCCAATCCGACGAAAGCTAGGGGATACAAAAAGGAAAACAGGACAACACACATGTTCTACTTGCTGGCAGGGCCATACCCGCAATGTCGGCGATTGAGTCCGGCTAGCTCAGCTAGTGGTTGTTGCTGTCTTTGCTGGTTTCCTTTTATTCTGTCTGCGCTATTCTCAAATGCCTGGCTGCGCGTTCATCTAGGCTTTGTAGCAGGTTCTCTGGAGCTTCTACTTCTCGGCATTTGGGTATCGATTCTCTCTTTTTCCCTCTTCCTCTACCTCTCGTTTGCTTTTTTCCCGTCGTGCTATGCACGTCCGACTGCAAACAGGTTCACACGGGTTGATATATACATGTACATGGCATAGACCTACGAGCGCATCCACCGACGCGACGATATACACTCGAGAAGGACCCGAGTGTTTTTTTTTTTCGTTTTTAGGAAACCCTTTGCAAACTGCAACGCTAGCAAAGCGACACGACGCATTCAGGACGACAGTAGCCAGAAGCGGAGAAGCGAAGAGCAGCTGCTCAGGCTGACACAGAACGATAAGTAGCTAGATAGGGCAAAGGCAGGGAGGCCTCCGAGAGACGAAGCTGAAAAGAAAAAAAAGAAGGGAATAGAGAAAGAAAAGGCCGTCGCTGGAGGAGAAAAAAGACACATCCGCTTGAACGATGTCCAGGATCCAGTCTTAGTAAAATGTAGGATACACTACGACAAAGGGAAAACGATATTTTGAAGGGAAACGGCATTTTGAAGGTAAAACTGAATTGCACGCAGCGGCAGAGACGGACGAGCTAAGCTATCGGTTGCCTGTTACCGCTTCCCGCGGCTGCACCCAAGGCTCATTGGTAGCTCGAAGCAGTTGTCTCCTTTTCCTTTATCGACGGGAAATGCGTGCGGGACAAGGCGACGGCAACGATTGTAGCCTTAAGCGACGCGACACTGGACGTGCCGTTACAGGTACGTGCGTTTATGAGAAGAGAAAAACACACCATAAGTCCTTCGACGTGGAGTACAGAATGATATACCTGGAAACCATATCCACACATTGAGCTTTCTAACGACCCGGGTTCTAGGCTATCGAATGTTAGAAGCAACTCGTTGAGGAAATCTTCAATCTCCTTTACCTGTCTGTGTGTCCGCTATGAAAAGTAACGGTTTTGATAAAAAGAAACAGTACCCAATATAAAACGTATAAATGAAGGACAACGACAGATCGTACTCGTGCTAGAAGCGTAAGACGGGACGAAACCCAAAGCAAATAGACGTAGACATACAAAACATCGCTTCCGCGATAGTTTTTTTGCAAGTACTGTGTAGTGCAACAAAGCGTTCTTCTGAAAAATAATTATTCGTATGATATAAATACACTTGGAGACCGACGCATTAAGACGTCATATGTTTCAGCTTGACGACGTGTGTGTGATTCGCTATCATCAATGAAAATCGATGACTAAACCCCTATTTGCCTCACTCACGAAGGCTGTCAACAATAAGCCAATCTTTGTGAGTATTATCACACTTGGAGAAAATGCAATATATGAACGAATATCATTTAGATCTGTATACGTTATAATAGCATTTTTATGATAAACGCAGATATCTCACATGAAAAGCTTTTGTCCCATTGAGCATAAATCTATCCACCGCTACGTAAGCCCTGACGGTAGTATTGCTTAGCGTTCAGGCATGACGGCCAAGGTCATTTTCCTGGTCCTTCAGTAAACAAAGGCGTTAGCTAACCAGTGCTATCTGCGTAAGACGATCTAAAATATCGGTATGATTCCATGTAATCGCAAAGCAATCTGCAGAAGGACAAAGACTAACAAATTCGAGCCGCAATCAATGGAGAGATTCTCCTAAGCACCACGATATCAAAAGGTATCCCGCTGGTCTACATGGCGCATTGGATCGCCTTAGGATCTATAGCAAATCTCCACACACGCACACACACACACACACACACACGCGTTAACTACGATCACGGACGGTCAATCGGAATCGGTTGCCAAAAGCGGTAGGTAGCGACAGTAAAAGTGGCATCTCGCTTACGAAAGACGATTGGTTCTCTTAAGAAGTCATTCGTAGCACTGCAGGGACGCTGTTACTTACGGTCGTGCTGATGATCCGCAGCCAGAGGTCGTCGTTTTGGCATGCCATTAAATACTATGATTATTCAGGCAGCTAAAAGCGTGACGGACGAGTAGGAAAATCAGGTTAGCCTGGCCAAGAGGCGTTGTTGCCATCTTGTTGTTTTCAAATGGCTTGTTTAAATATTGGTTAAAGTTACGGATCTGCTACTCGCGCGTTAGTTACTTGAAATTCGAAGTTTAAAAAGCCCGCCTTATGTGTGCAGCGAGTGCGCCAACAAGAACAGTTCGATGTGGCTGTAGTATCAGTAAAGGCTTATTCTTCAAGCGTGCTTATAATCTGCCGTTCGTTAAATAGACAGTTTAACACCATCTGAGTGTCGATTCAACGCTACCAGCTCGGCAAAGACTAAAGCTAATAGGGATTATCGCAAGGTAACAGCGATATTGGCAAGGATCTTAGTTGGGCCACGACAAATTTAGCCAAAACGACGAAGTCAGCTGTTATCCACGCCTCCGCATATCGTCGTTCGTAGCCATGTTTAGACCCCCCGAACGACGAGAGTGGCTGCGTGTACGCGGTGTTGTCTCCAATGATATTGTACACAACAATGCACGCACTGAATTGTTACATTGCTCAATACCGGCCAAAATAACCACTGTCCTACTAGTTCAAGGCCAGTCTAATCCTGCTCTATAAAACGTGAATAGTCGTAGTCTTTAACTAATCAAATAAATAACTGTTGTTGTTGTTGCAAAAGATTACCTCAGGTGGTATAAAGCGAAATGTGTTTGTACCCACGAAGTGGCCAATTGAAGCCTATTTTGTCTGACCAACTTAGATGTTTCTCATGCAATTTTCGAATGGCAGTATATTTGAGTCGGACAAAAGCAAACTTCAATAATCCATTTTGTTGTAAAGTGTCATTCTTGCCAGTGGCGAAATCTGTCTGTAATTGTAACGTCACAGGCTCCCAGTGAAGAGGCTTTGGAAAGTCGACGCGTCGGTCGCGTAGATTATTGATCTCTACTATTCAAGGCTTGATGGAGATCGGGTTTGTGTAGGAAGACCAAGCACCCGTAGCAGTAGCAGCGAAGCATCTTAGCACAACAGGGGTTCGCGACAAATGACTTGACAGCTCGTTGTGATATTGTTGTTTTTCTATATATATCACGTGCCCGTTTCCTCAACACTAGTGCTCTCAAAGCACCCATATGCTATTCGTAGCCAAACGCACAAGTGTGACCTGTGTTGCTTGTTACGTACTACACGTTTCGCGTTCTTCCTGCTCACAATTTCGACTGCGGTCGTTGTTACAGCTAACCAGCGAGTCGCTCTGTGTACCTGTCGAACATCTTGTGGATGCACCGGTTAACATCGGCGAAGGTGTGACATCTTCTGTCGTCCTGCTTGCCTGAACCTTCTCAAACACTTTGCACGACTGTGCTACGAGCCCAGTGCGCTAAGGGAACAGTAACGAACCTTTAGGCACGTTGCCCGTATGCGATACTCTAGCCGGTGATGATACTCTCATAGGGTGTAGCCAGTATTGACAACGATACCATTGTTACTACGAGAATTGCAACGTGGTTGTAGCTGGCTATTTATTACCGTCATACACCTAACAGATCTTCCTTGAGCCGTACGCGTCAAAGTATGGCTTTGAATCAGTTGTCGTGTATATATAATATAGCTAGACCCAAGCCGACTTGCCATCTTAATCACGTACGTACACTGATAATGTTACTGTTATTTGATTATTTCTTATTGGTGATCTGCAAGTGTGACATCGTATTTGGCTTAGGGTAGAGAAGATCACCGATTATTGACAAGACAACTCAGTACTTTACGGCAAGAAAGTGCCCAGAGCTATTAATACGTGCCACAGGTACAGATGATAGATATCCGTGTAGCGTCCCAGTCGAAGAGCAAAATGTAATTCGGATACCTCAACTCTAAAGGACCCAAGTGGGACAAAGTTTATAGGGAGAAAGACACTCGTAACCTTCAATGTAAAAGGCTAGCTAGGGCTTATTGCTAGCGATTGAAGGGCGTTTCAAATGCAGGACCTTGCTTGTATAATTCGAAAGGTTACACTTCGCAAAAGTAGATCAATATGGCTAAATAGCATTTCTGAATAACGGTTATCGTAGGAAGGATCGCCCACATTAGTTCCAAACTGTATTGGCCTTGCAGCCTTTCGAGAAATTTATAGATACGTGCATTCGAGGCTTTAACTTATATATATATACATCTTTACATCAGTTTCAAGCAGTAATCTGTTTCGCCGTTCCTGAGCAATTCGTATATAGTAAACGATGTCATTGCCTTTTACTGTGGTTGGCATGCGATCGAGCTTTCCCTCCACTATCCTTTTTCTCATATAACTATAATAGATCTACCATTATATGATTTTCTTTAGAGAAGTAATTAACGGACGACGACGATTAGGACGGATCACAAAAAAAGGGGATATTTTTTCATACGGGACAGCGTTCAAAATTTAGCGGCTTATCAGCTTAATGTTATCTGCGTTTTTTTTTTTTAATATTGCAGATTCGTTCGCCGTTCTTTATTTCACTATTATAAGATAGTCACATACGCAGGCATAATAGAATCCTTTGTGTTTTTTGTTTCTCCACACTTACGGACGAATACTTTGGTACGATCGCATAGGTTCGTGTCTGTGTATCTGTCCACTGATTCGTCTGCGGTCATATGTTCGTAAGGCTGTTTTGTGGCCCGTAGATCTTGACTTTTTTGTTCTTGAGCCATACGCAGCACAAACAGTAGCAGATCTATGAGACGCTGCATGAACTGGTGCTGCCGCTTCTGCTAAAGGGTGAATCGAACTCACCGTACTTACGACGCTTGACTTGTACCATCCGGCGGTCGAAGCGACGTCCACGAAGAAGCCGAAGTGGCCCTTGCTTCATCTCGATTCCGTTGATCTTGTCGGTGATCATGATGCCTCGAGAAGAAAAAGAAGAATACCACAGAAGAGTCACGACAGCCAGTATTGCAGGTCAAGCAAGATAAACAATTCGCATGAGGCCACTTTATATCTAAGAACATCAACAACAACAACAACAACAACAACGCCAAGAATGGCAACGACACGCATTACACATTGGACCACCTATTGACAAAATGGAAACAGCGAAAAATAACGCACTACCGTTATAAACCTTCACGCTCAAATAAAGAGTGATAGGGGTTATCTGTTTAGCATATATTTATACTCGCGTCTGTAACAGGCCTATATATATATATATGTATATATATATATAGCTACACGTACATGCATTGAAGACTTCGCACTTGTACAACTACGTATTTCTAATGGCAAAATCGATGAACGAGGATTCATCGATGTGTCAAACAAGAAGTCCATCCTGTCACGAAATGTAATACGTGTGCATCGATTCGGGGTCTACATAAACACCATAATGCCCCTACGCGGAACCTAATAGTAATTTTGAGCAATAAACTTCCATCCCACGCAATTGGGCAGCGTTTAGACAAGAACAACAAGCATATGCGTCCGACAGACTATTCAAATGGTAACTATTCTTTTCGATGTTTCAAGAGGTTGAAAATGCTCTGACGAAGTGAGTAAAGGTCCGACTGAAAAACCTTGCAGATAAATACAATACGATACGCTATTATTCAAAGGGCAATTTGGCACACTAACAGCAAGAAAGGGATTCCCGTATATGTGTGTCACAGAACAGCGGTCTGTATGTGCAATTCGATATTATTATTATAATACGTCTTTATACAGTTTGTCTTGTATCAAACGCACAGTTTTTGATGGTGACCTTTCGAGCCAGTTCTCGGTTAGTGTGCATGTTAATACATACATCATCCTTGTGCCAAAACACCATGTGCTGCCACTGTCGTTCTAGGTCAAATGACGCCAACACCGAACGACGACAGGCTAGTTGCCCCGAAACCTAGATTCTCGCTTGTTACGGTTGTGCGCTTAGCTTAGTTTGATTTGCCCTCGGGCAAAGGTCGGTTATAATGGCGATGTTTGTAGAGTGCGATTGTCACGAAGAGGTTAGACAAAGCTTCATAGGTGCTTCTGCTATACAACTGTCGAAGCAGTATTGTGCAGTAGACGCCATTCAAATTAGGTTTGTCCTTAGAAACTGAAAGATTGGAATGTCAGGCAGAAGCTCACCATGTAGGTCGTACATAGCGTGAAACTTTGCCTTCCTTTAGAGCTGCCGATTACGTCCGCTCAAATCTCTCTACTTAGACATCCTGGTCGCGAAAAAGAGAGAGCCAATTACGGTGAATTTATTGCAAAGAGGCAGAAACCGTGAATTTTTATGCGAGCAGCTGTTAAGCAGGCCACGAAGCCGGCCACGAATGCGGTTCAGTTATACATTTTACTAACGGCTGATGCAAGAATTCGGAGACAATTTCAACAAAAACCAGTCTTCTCCGACGTTTATAATGTGCTCTGCTGCCAGCTTAGGTCTGTCAGACCACCCAATTCAATCCTGCTTGGACCACAGCTAACTCGGGTGAATCGGGAAAATCGACAACGACGACGCCTTTGCTCATGGTAACGCCGGAATATGCCTCGGCTGAATAATATCTTTTTTTCTTTAACTGGGCGCGATAATTGCAAATAGCTATTGAACGCTCCTATTCGCTGGATGGTGTCAGAAGCTATACTAGCGTCAAGTACGCTTCGAAATCAGCGACGCACCGCAGACGTATCTGATTCTACGACTAGCCGATGCTGCAGGCTTCTAGCCATTCTGTTGCTGTGGCATTTACGCTGAGTTACTGCTGGTTATAGACTATGTTCATCAGCCACTGGTTATGTTCCTAACTAGCGTTTTCTGTCCATGTTTTCCATGGAGCTCTATTAATTCTCCCGCTGTCTCGTCTCTGTGTGCCCAACTCCGCGTGATCCCCTTCTGCAAATGACGCGAAAGCTACACATTTCAACTACTTACTAGCCGTCTAGCAGTAGCGATTGCTAGAAAGCGAATTACATGGCTTTGGAAGGCATTCATGGCGTATCCGTCACACCAACATATCTCCCCGTACGTGTGAACGGGTCTAACGCACAGCATCAATGAACTGGATCTGGCCACGTCTTTACCGGCTATTCTCTTCATTATATTCGCTTGATTACATGCAACGTAACAGAAGCACAATAATAATCCAAGTAAGCCAGGACACGACGATAGAACCAGCTGATTCGAAATAATCAGCTCTTTTTCGTCGGTCTAAAATTCTGCTTTTCCCTACGCATTATTTTGCAGTGAAACTATGAAAGGATGGACAAGAGAAGCGCGACGGATCTTGGCTTTGTCAGGCGTAAATGAGACACATGTCTTCCGTTCAGGCTCTACTCGGCAATAGTACGTCTGATTCCGCGAGCCCCTTTATGAGTACTGACCCGATCACGAAAAAATTGACAAGCACAGCTTTGCTTCTTACTCTGATTAGCTTCACTAGTCGCGCTGCAAGAGCATCGTGCCTGCTATCGACTGCGCTCATCGCATTTAATGTTAGGAAAGAACGCTTTCAATTAGAATTATTTCATTGTTAAGGAACTGGTTGCGAATAGCAAGAACGAAATGAGGGAATAAAAGGCCTTTAGTTCGCACTAGCCCTCAGGGGGCAGATGGGCACAGACAGAGACAGGGGGGAAGCCATTAAAATATCGAACAAAAAAATTCTATGGAAATCAAACGTAGTCGAAGGCAACGAGAGATTGAAGCTTATCATGTCCAGACCCGTACTATGTAATTATTGTATTAATAGTATATTTATGTCGACATCTGTTACGACATGTGTGCGATAAAATGAAGAAGATAAATAGCGCTAGTCTTATTAAATACAAGAAGAATATCATGATTAGGAATGGCGAGCCCAAGTAGTAATCTAGTCGTCATATTATGAGGCTTTTATTTGGTACGTAAATAAAGCAACCAAATGATCAGATGTTTGGTAGCTTATCTGCATCAAGCGTGACTGTATTTGCTGATGTTGATGTCCTATTTAACCGGCATATAGCAGGGGCCATTACAAAAGGCACCTACAGAACGTGTTTTTATTTTCCGAATCATCAAAACGCATTGAATTTTCCAGAGTTTTTTTTGTGTCCGAGCTTCGAATCACAGCGAAGGGTTTCCTTTCCCTGAAAAACTTCATTTCCCTGAAAAATATTCAAATACAGCTTACACAGCACTGCCGCTCAGCGAACTTCAACGGACTATCAGCGAATAAGAATATGGAGCAATCGATCCGCATTCGCCTGTCGACTGCCCCGAGCGGAGCCTCTCAGACGTAAGAAACGTGTTTGCACTCTGGATTTAACAAGCACCATAAAATAAATGAATCAAAAATACAGTAGACAGTTTCTGTCAACACTGTCCATAAGAAAAGAACACCAACGATAGTAAGATAAATAAGTCACTCCAATGGGACACTTTGGTTAACTAGCTCGATGAAATTGTCGGCTACGTTTCTGTAATAAAATAGATCGATATTTGATGGGGAAACAAGTTGATGTTAGAAGGCAGCAAACAGGAACAGCAGTAATAACAAGGCCCAGCGTATTAAAGAACCAGTCTATCGACAGCCGATTTCAACAATGTCAATTATCCTACAATGTGAGCATTTGTAGTATAGCCTCTCATCAGCGACGGAAATATAATAAATAATAAATTAAGTCGTCTTGATTATCAGCATTAGCAGGTCAGCGTAGGACCGCTAAGGATCGTCAACAAGACGAGCTTTACTATAGGGATAAATGATTTAAAGGCGTATTAAGTAAAAATTATCAAGGGCTACAATGTTTACGTAGAAAGCGTATACAACAATGTAACGCTACGAAGCAGCTTCACTTAGTAGCAGATATTTCCGTAGGATTTTTGAATGAAACATGGCCCTACTCCTAACGTCACCGTACCTATTATTGACAAATAGAGAATCCGTGTTTCGTAAAAACTGTTATATCGCATTCAAGGACGTACCATCGTAACGCGTGCACCTTCAACTGACGATCATTTGAAAATCATTCGGTCAGGAACTCAATTGCCTAAGCCTAGATGTATGTACAAGTGCCTGTAATGGCTGTTCGTTTTATGAACATGTGACAAATATGACGAAGAAGAAA